TCACATTCTAACATATCGCAAAACTGGATTCAAATTCAGAATATACATCTCCTTGAGTCTGTGCTCAACTTTGAATCACGTTTCAAGGTTTGTTTCATAATACGGGCCTAAGTGCTAGTGGGGCGCAGTGCATACTCAAGTGATGCCTAACCGCAGCGCAGTTACATTACGGCAGTTGGATAACTGTAAACGTTATTATTATACTTTGTCACATACGCGGCCGCAACAAAACGCACCAGCTATAATGGCTCCAATCAATATCGTATGAAACACGATACGGACTAAACACCTATCGCTATGATTACAAATCAACACGCTCATTATGATCTATGTTATGTTCTGTAAAGTCCGATATTGAACAGACGTGTGACATGCAACAATTTGATATAACACATTAAGAGACGATGAAATGATAGCTGGTTTTGACAGCACAATAGCAAATGTATCTGTGGGGTATTCAGGATTGCTCCAAAAGCCTATTGTCAATGCTCAATAAGTTATTGTAACTCCATACCTAAACGAATCTGGAGGAAAGCTTATGCCTTGAGGATTGTACTAATGATATTTTTGTTTAAAATAAGTTTTTACTTTATTGATCATAATATTAATCAAGCTTAGCACACACTGAAGAAATCTGATAAATTGTAATTTTTATAGGTTTCAACAAATTTCGCTACTGTTTAACATGCAATACAACAGCGTACCGTTTAAAGTTAACAAGGCCAACTTGCATCCATGATGAACCTGTAAACTCGAAAAACGCATTAGATCTAACTTAAAAGTAGGTATCTTTTGAAGTAAACAATAAAGTACAAAAAGTCAAAAGTGAAGTAACTCAAAAATATAATTTTAACAAGGCACTTTGTTTTATTTAAGATGTTCCAGATTTAAAAATATCAGCTTATAATATTACTGTATATTTCTTTTTCGGACAGTACCTATTACTCTTGACATACTTACGTTGCAAATTCAAATTCTACATTAGCATTCACGTTGCTGTAACTCATGGAAAATAAACTCGGACTACCAATGCAGTTTATTTTTCACAATATTAACGTAAGTTATTGTAAAATATACGCGATCACTACGTAATAAGCATAGTTTTAAATCATAGATGTGCGATTACAATTCGAAACTACGTCAGCGGACCCCACGAGTGCGTTCTTGCATCGTACACTTTCAATTCCGAAATCTTCCATGGACTGGACATTGCTAGCTAAATATGCATCCTCTTTGAAGTCAACTCGCGTTCGGATATCAAAACAAGTATTTTTATGTCAACATCAAAATAGTATCCATCTTTAATCCTTAACAAGACTGAGTCAATATCGTGGCCACTATATTTTGTACCGTATTGCCTTACTTTAAGATCACAAAATAATGTATGGAATGGGAACTTCGGCAAAACAAATTCGAGGCTTAAAAAAGTGTTACGATTTTTGGGGAATGTCCTTTACTGTCTCACAGCACGTCGCGTAATAATGTTCGCTCAGTAACCGAACTTTTTACTTACTCCAATAATTCCACTTTCCGAGTAAAGAGATGACCTATTTTAAACCTATTTGCAATTTAACGATTGATCGCATATCCCGTCAAATTAGGTTATCAAATGATTTCACCGAACTACCTGAGCCGGATCAATCTGAATTTCAAATGAAAAAGACCTACATATTTTATTTTCAGCAGCACCCATGTTTCTCGGAATTTTTCCTTGTAAACATTTCGAAATAACTCTTCAAGTATATTTGTGATACTTTTTATTTTCATTGTGCATTTATGATGAAATTCTTAGTTGTTAAAAGATTCTCATTCGTTGATAAATTTTAAAAATTTAGTTAAAACAAGTGGACTCAAAAAATACACTCGTGAGCAAAACTATGGAATCACTTACATGAAGTTGTTTCCACGCGAACTTGTGTACTAACGAATTTGTTAGTAACAAAAAAAGTGGCACCATTTTAAAGAATAAACTTTTATCTTTAAATTGATACCAAATTCATTTAAATCACACCAGTATTTAAAAAGATATCCCGGCTGATGTGAAGAAGTAACGAAAAAGACATGTATGAACTGTTTGATACGTCGCGAGTTGCGGCCTATTTACCCCCTATAAAAGCACGCGTTTTTAGATTTTTGCTTTCACACGTTGATTCATACACATCTCCGCTTCTTTTGACACTTTACCTGAGATTCTACACCTTCAGAAGCAGCACAAATCGTTGCACTATTGCAAGAAAGGCTCAGCCAGCGGGCTGTCGCACGTCAGCGCCACATAAGCCAGTCCTGGGTTTCGAAAGTTTCAAGACGCTTTCGGAAGACTAGTGGCTTTATCCCGAGACCAAGTTCTGAACAGCGCCGGTGCACATCGCAGAGGGAAGACCGTTTTTTCATGTCAACCTCTCTATGAAATCGTCATTTGACTGGAATCGATGTCCATCAAGAGCTCAGAAATGTTCGTAAGATAGCTGTTAGCGAGTGGACAGTTCGTCTAAGATATAAGCAATAGAATTTGACTCCAAAAAGGCCTGCCACAGGCTCGAAACTGACGGCAGGTCACCGATAAGCACCCTTTCAATTTGCTCGTACACATCTCGATTGGAAGGCGAGTAATGGAGGCGAGTTCTGTTCTCCGATGAATGCAAACTGTGTTTGCAGGGCAGCAGTCGAAGAGGTCGGGTTTATAGGCGGCCTGAGAAGCGATTTGTGCAGTGCTAGTTCGCTGAAACAGTGGCTTATGGGGGTGGCTTGCTCGACTTAACATCGAGAAGTGTACGAGCAAATTGAAAGCGTGCTTATCGGTGACCTGCCGTCAGTTTCGAGCCTGTGGCAGGCCTTTTTGGAGTTAAATTCTATTGCTTATGTCTTAGACAAACTGTCTACTCGCTAACAGCTATCCTACGAACATTTCTGAGCTCTTACTGGACGTCGATTCCAGTCAAATGACGATTTCATAGAGAGGTTGACATGAAAAAACGGTCTTCCCTCTGCGATGTGCGCCGGCGCTGTTCAGAACTTAGTCTCGGGATAAAGCCACCAGTCTCCCGAAAGCGTCTTAAAACTTTCGAAACCCAGGACTGGCTTATGTGGCGCTGACGAGCGACAGCCCGCTGGCTGAGCCCTTCTTGCAATAGTGCAACGATTTGTGCTGCTTCTGAAGGTGTAGAATCCCAGGTAAAGTGTCAAAAGAAGCGGAGATGTGTATGAATCAACGTGTGAAAGCAGAAATCCGAAAACGCGTGCTTTTATAGGCGGTAAATAGGCCGCAAATCGCGACGTATCAAACAGTTCATACATGTCTTTTTCGTTACTTCTCCACATCAGCCGGGATATCTTTTTAAATACTGGTGTGATTTAGATGAATTTGGTATCAATTTAAAGATAAAAGTTTAATCTTTAAAATGGTGCCACTTTTTTTGTTCCTAACAAATTCGTTAGTACACAAGATCGCGTGAAAACAACTTCATGTAAGTGATTCCATACTTTTGCTCGCGAGTGTATAACCTTAGGTTAGGTTAGGCTAGTAAATAGTTAGCTAACCCAACCTGTCTTAAAGAAATTGAACCGCGGAACTAAACGAGGCGTTAACTTGTTCCGAATACTTCCGAAGATTTGAAAGCGAGCGCGCGCGCACTGCTATCCTGCTCAGTTTTCACTTTCACGGGCCGATGGCCGCCCAGCCTCGGCACACTTCGGCACACTGTGTCAAGGTCACCCGCCTGGAATCCGATGGGAAGTGGATCATGACCTCTGGAGGAACACCATGGGTTTCGGATGACCTCAGTGACGTCACAGACGAAGCTATGCTTCTTGACACTGACCGCACTCAATAGAATACGATGAAGAAGACGAATGATGTGTAGCCCTCCAGGGTGTTAGAGACTTGCAGGTCTTGCTGCCACAAGAAATCTAAACGTACATGCTCATTGGTTTCTGCAAATAATATTATTTGATTTGCTATTACATACTATCTTAATTTGAATACATAATAATGATTCATTCAGGCTGTGCAGGTTTTGAAGCTCTACAGCTTACTTTTTAATGTAGAACACAAGCTACCACGCCAAGTGGTCATAAAATTCAATTGTTTACAATAGTAATTAACTTTAATAATGAGAAAATATAAATGCAAGAACTTTCCATGATAAGATTATTCTTTAACTTCTCAATATTCAGCTTATCTTTATTTACAATGTAATGATAAATAAAGTTATGTTATTGTATTTGTCATACACTTTTATCTTTTAAACTTTAACAATAACAATGAAGAAATAACTGAGTGGGTATAGTTGTAACATGGTTTACTTTTAAGTAAAAAAAAGGCGTCTCTATACAAAAGCAGCAGATTACTGATTATACGATAAGGGCCGAGAGATCAGCGACCTGCGTTATCGCTCTTATCACGCGAAGTATTGTTGCACTTGGCAAAGAAAGTGCTGCTATCTGATAAGGGACTAGATGAACTGTCTTTTGAAATGTCACCTCTATTACAAAATGTTTCTGTACTTTTTTGCAATAAATAATATCACGATGATATCAGTGACCAACATCATTCAATGTAAGTGTACAGTCACAACAAGTTACGACACGTACTTTTGATAAGACAAGGGTATAATTTTAAAAATTGCAAAAAGTGAGTTACGCCAATGTCTTCCACGATGTGTAGGTGCGAAAATTTTGTGAAGAGAACATGAAAGTGGTCATTTACATGCTGTACTGCCCAAGAGTATTTGTTTATAAATAGTACTTAATCACAAAATAGATAATACCTAGCTCGATACCCTTCCTCAACATTGTAATCTTCGCTATACTTAATGTAATTGATTAAGTACAACGTTGGTAATTGATTTCATAACAAAATGCAACATTATTACGAAGGGCATCACTTAAACTGAATCATCTCAATCGTGCAACAGTGTGCATACTTGATCGCTGTCATTTTGTTATTTACACTTCCGATCGCGACACAATTGAGTGATATGTGCGTCTCTTTTGTTCCGCAGATAGACAACCATGCACGAGCAGGACGGAGATACGGAGCCGGCGCACCACGCGCGTCGGCCCATGAACGCATTCCTTATATTCTGCAAACGTCACCGAAGCGTCGTCCGCGACAAATATCCTAATCTTGAAAATCGGTACGTCACCATGATAATTTTGTTAGCCTTGTTTTACGCGGTTTTAGCTACGCCTATGTTTTATGGCGGGTCTTAATAGAAGCATGAATATTGACCCATTATTAAGAGTAACGCAAAAAAAAATGTATGTAGGTGAAAATTGATTTGAACATATAAATAGACCTCACTGGAGGTAGTTATCATCTTTATTAATATTGTATTTCAATAATTCCAGGTCTATAACCAAAATTCTTGGAGAGTGGTGGGCTAACTTGGATAAAGAAGAGAAAGCTTGCTACACAGGTCTTGCGAAACAGGTATAGTTTGCATTTTATCAAAACTTACAATCTCTATTAAGATATTTTATATTTTATGTAAACCTACTGATTTCTTCCTTACAGTACAAAGACGCATTCTTCAGTGCCAATCCTGACTTCAAATGGTACAAATTGCCTGCGCCTCCTCTCCGCACACTCTCCTCTCGGCCGAGAGAACCGAACGAGAAACAAATAGAATCCCCCATCAGCGAATATCATGAAGCTGAATTAGAAAAAACAAATAATAACTCAACTAAAGTAGACTTCAACAAAAAGACCAATGAGCACGTATACGAAAACGAAACTAAACCGTTGTCAATGTTTACTCCAGGCAAGTTGGCAGATGAAGCCCAAATGGGAGGCCTCAGCAGTCTCCTGGCCACTAAGACTGAAACCAAAACTCCGAACCCTTACTATTCACCTCACTGTCTTAAATATAATGCGATCTCAACCCCAAACGAATTCAGATCTCACAACATATTAGAAAGGGCTAAAGCAAAAGGAGCTGCCAACGAGGAAAGCATACGTGAACTTCAAAATGAACTCACAGAAACCACAAAGGTATTCGTAGAAGAAGGCTTTAGTGAGGAAAAGGGAGGATTGTATCAGTACAGTGTCGCCAACGACCAATTTACTAACCAAGATGTGATAAACCAAATAGTTGATAAAAGGTATTCTAAAGACGAAGATTACGGTTATCAGAGGAATTGGTCAGATGACGAAAGGAACTCGAGATCTGGGCGGTCGTGCAAAGGGAAGCGTTACCAGGAATTCATGGCTGTGGGGGGATTGATCGTGAATAAGAGGCAAAAGCGAGACATCAACGACAAATTGCCAGACGAGGGCTACAGCGCGTCCTGTAGCTGGGAATCTGGCAATCACCGTGGCGAGGAGCACAATTCGCTTAGCGAGATGTCAATCGAGAGCGAAACAAAAAACGACACCGTAGACGCACCTGAATCAGACAATAATGCAAACAAGACTTTCAAGGCTGCCGACTTTGATTTGGACGCTAAAATAAGAGCGTTGCCCTCACTCAGTCTTGAGAAGTTTCAACAGAAAAAGCGCGAGAACAAACGCAAGAAGAAAACTCTCAGTCTCAAGCCTAAAGCGCTGGAATCCTCGCATATAGTCAATTCGGTTCCTAGGTCTATTCTAGACGATAGGCGTGAAATGGCCGAGAGCTGGCGCGACTCCGTCATCGGCAGTCAAAAACGCAAGCCGAGGAAAGTGAGCATAACCAGGTTCGAATTAAAGGGTTTGTACTCGACCATGGAGAACAGTGAATCGCATAAAATAAGCCCCGAAATCAAGATTGCGACCGAGGCGCCTTGCACGGTCGTCCAGAGTATGGAAATCTGCAAACAACCCCAGCATAGCAACGTCACGCAGGACCTATTAGCTCTTGCGACGCTGGCTGAAGTCGCCGCCAACACCTCGAAGATCGAAGGTTCATCCATCACAGACACCATGACCGCCAAAGCAAGCGATGAAAACGCTTCCATGGTATGAAATACCTACAATATAACAATTCCAAAAATATTATTTACTATATAATCAGATAATATTTATATATTATAGATCTACTTTTACATGTACGCATAAAAATAATAATTGTACACCTAAATGTAGTTTTTATAAAATAGGAATAGAGTTTATTTATATTGAGATAGAGAGATATATATATATATTATTATATACCTATTTTAGTTGATTGGTAGGTATTTGTGATAGTTAAATGCATAACATCACAAGAATAACAAGGCATAATGTATTAAATATCAAGTTAATAATATTAATGATATTAAGTTCGTATATGAAAAAGTTTGTTTAAATGAAATATCAGTGTTAATAATAAATGTTATTATAACAGAGTTATGCATCACATGAAAAATGCCAAACTTAAACAGTAATTTCGTATATAATCGTTAACCTCATTTTTGTATAAAGTTAGATTTATTTAAATCGCCTTAATATTAGATTTTAAATCAAAAGTAAAACACCAACATGCATAGACTGCATCGCATTTTTTTAATGGTGATTTTGTTTTTTTATTCATAACGTCATTGAATATTTTGCAAATTTATCATTTGTATAATATATTTTTATAACGTATCTATTAAAGTGACAATGTTCACGTTTTATACATTTTTACTAAACATGGCAACATTGTTGTTGGAACGATCGACTTAATGGCGGTGCCTTTAAAAGTGATTTATTGGGGTGGTACAGGGAGTGTTGCCATGCATGCGCAAAATTGAAACATTTTATATAATGTCGATTTAATAAATATTATAAAGATATTGGCAAAAGTAACCTAATATAAATTTATTTTAGTCGCTAGTTAATTGAATACGCCTATCGCGGCTAAAATTATCGTGAGTGAAACTCGCTGTTTTTCTTTTGTGATATAATTTTTGAACCTTGATTTTAAACGAAAATAAATTTATTTCGCTTTGTTTTAACTTAATTCACGCAATATCTTTTTATATAGGGTTAATCGATGTGTTGTTATAATTGATATGAAAAAACCTAAAAAAAAACGAATCTGAACGTTCACTGTTGTAGATGATAGCAAAATGATCATTTCTCCTTTAGGTACCTGAACTTTATCGAAAATGTTCATGAATTTTAACGCGACGTTAAAACATTGCAATTGTTACATTAATAGCTAAGCTTTATTTAAGTTACACACCATTGTCAACTTCACTTTAATTTATTTATTGTTTTATTTGGAACAGTGTTTCTCAAATTGTTGTTCTTATTTTGTGCATATAGATGGATTTTAAGGATTACTGTGATTTTGTTTCCATCTACGTTGATGGTATGAAGCTTTTGTAGGTCTAGTCTAGAAGGTAGAGTTTTAAAAGAAGATTACAAGTACTAAATTTTTAAAGTGCACTTATATGTATTTTTTAAAGTTACAAAAGATGACAAAAGCCATAATGTGACATGCTCATCCAAAGACCAAATGTATTTAGAATAGGGAAGCTAGGCTGTAGATATTGTATATTTAATATTCAAGTTATATGTAATATTTATGATGATATTATATATTATATTTTTGAAAACTGGCTAATATTGTGGCATTCCAATGTCAAAATTGTAAAATCCCTTTTATGATATAGATTTGTTGCATTTTTTTTTGTTTTTAACATTTTCTCCCAGAGCTTTTAAATCAAATTGTTATTTTTGTGTAAAGATTTAATTATTGTTACGTTTTCGTAAAGTGAAGAGCTTTAGTAGGTTCCTAAAATTATATCGATGAGCTAACACTATTCAATGAAATTTCATAGAGTGCTGGTGTTCATGAAAAATTCTTTTGCCTTGTCGATATATTGTAGCCTTACCTGTTCTGTAGATTGATATATTAGTGATAAGGCGAATCGTAACGGGGGCCAGTATAAAGGGTTATTTACTAAAGAGAATTTTTCGTTTATTATAGATTCTATTGGATTAAAAAATTATATATTGTAAAGAGCTTATACCTAATATGTATATTTACAAAATAATAAATTCTACGAAAGTTAAACCCTAATATGATCCGTTTATTTGAATTATGGTGCTGGAAGATCTGTATTTTAATTGTTTTAAGAGCGTTTACGCCGTTTGGCGCAAAAACAGTACTTTTTCAACTCGTTACAATCATTAACCAGTAATACTACAAATATGTTATAGGCATAAATAGTTAGACAATTTTGTCGTCTAAATAGTTAATTGAGAAAATATTGCGATTAGTTTAGCATTTAAGAATTCTATCCAGATAAGTCCACACAGGTTTTGTAAATTTCCACTTTAGCGTCAGTTTACAAGCTGAAATTTTTATAAAAACACTGTGAAAACGATTTAACAAACATATTTATCCTATAGCATAGATCCTTGGGCAAATAGTTATCTGAGAAAATTTTTAGATTTAAGCATTTTACACTAAGAAATCACAAATTAAAAGAACGTGAAATATCCAAAAATCAAAGTGATTTTTTCACCAATATTCTTCCTTTATTCAACACAAAAATAGCTTAATATAATAGAAGAATATCTTATCTAAAATATTTACTTTGAAATTTAAAATAATTCATTGTAATTTTTTTTCTATGAGTATTTGAAAACTACTATAAATCGCCGCGCACGAATCGTTCAAATTCAGTCCGCCTCGAGGCGTTCTAGAGTGAGGTCACGTCGCTCGGTGCTCTGCTGACATGTGTCATGCGTACGTTGATCTTTGACAGGTAGCTGGACTTTTATAGTGTATCCGAAAAATCTTGGTGGTAGATTTTGCGATCACGTGGTAATTAAAATATTTTATTGTTATTTTTCATTACAGTCTATTTTTACTACAAATTCTATTTCAGACGTAATGAAAAATAAAATTAAGTTATTTTTAGCGATGAAACGAAAACGAATGACGAAAATTTGGAACAGCAAGTTATGTATGTATACCTACTAATATTATAAAGAGGAATAATACTAATAATTTATTTGCCATAAATAGGTGGTTACAGAATAGTTAATAGGAATGCTCTGCTAGCAGGGGGGCTACCCACCTTCTGGTAGGAAGAACCCCAAATAACCCACTAGCTGCCCCCGCAGCTGGTGGGTATGAAATGTTATGCATTTTCCGGATAAAAAAAGAATAGTAAACAGGAAAAGTTTGTTTTGAATAGAACCGATTTGAAAAAATCTCTCACAATTAAAATTCAAAAAATTTTCTGCTGAACATAGGCTGTATAAAATATTCTCAAAATAGTAAAAAACCTTTGATAATTTACTATTTGATAAAGAATTTACGTATTTATTATTGATTAGGACTAATGTATACCATTATTTATAATTATGGAGTCGGTGTTGGAAGATTTGAAGATTTTATAGTTTCCTTGAGCTGTCACTTGACAGCCTGGCATACTTTTACGATGGTGGATCAAAGTATTTTGGTTTGACTATAGAGCGTGAGAACACGCACACAGTCATAATTATTTTAGTGTGAATAAAACTAGCATCGAAATTACCTAAACTTGACATGCCACGCTAGACGTAAACGCTCTTAAGAAACAACCTAATATTGCATAAGTTATCTTGCATGGCAATGGAGGGTAGTCAAGTAGGATAATGAAGAGATATAATTTAAGATGGATCAATTTGTGCTGTTAACCGTGTGAATCTTTTATAAAAATAAAGATTTCGTTTGACAATACAATTTGATTAAAAGTATATTTTTTGTAACGGTTTAACCCTTTAACAGGCAAAGTAAGTTCAAATTTTAATTGTTTTGGACCTTAAGCCAACAAGGTTAAAATATGGTGGGATGAGACCTGCCTTATAAAGGGTTAAAAACTCATTGTGTTGTTTGAGAAACACTGGTCTAGGCTACGTTATTAGACATGTTAAGTCGGCACCCAAAGTGTTTACCTTTTTGGTTCCAAAGTAACTATTGTTGAACGTTTGTTAAATATGAGCGCGGTACATTATATATCCTTTTATTGTAGAAATAAAGTTTATTCATTAAAATATTTTGTTTTTTTTAGAAAAACCTTTAGACACACATAAACACATAATAAGTTATAAAGTTACTGCGGTAACTAGGTTATTTTATTTTATTTTGTTAGGAAAATATACAGTGAAACAATAACAGACTAATAACCACTGCTTAAGAAACTATACACCATTAAACATGTTTTCGCAATAATGTTTCGTAATAAAGAAAAATACGGGCTTTAGTTTAATATAATTTTAAAAATCATTATGAGATAAACAAACAGTCATTTATTATTGTTTAAATACATTTATAGGTTTTAAAAATACTAATTCGTGCAAAATGTTTGATTACATTACATTAACTTATAATGTTCATATTTTGTACCAGATGACATGCATAGCTTCTCGGTAGTGTATGGTCCGTCTGAAAAAGAAATAATCAACGTGAGGTTGATGATGAAATTGCACAAAACTGAATTAAACAAATAGGTAGGCATTTCATAATTTGTGAAAACAAAAAACTCACGTGAGCTTAGAAGCGGACTATAAAATTTAAAAAATTCTAGACGTTATTTATTGGCCCATGTAAAGTAAGAAAAAAATTTGTTGGTCTATTACTCGCCAAAAAAGTTCGATGACATCACATGTTACATAACCATCATCGACTACCGCCAAGTCACTGAGTTTGTCTCTATTTCTCCTTGGTCAATATTGGTCTAACTGTCGAATTTATATGCTCAAGAACACCAGTGAAATATCCAGTGTACTCACAGTTACAGCCGTGAAAAAGACTTTTTAAACACTCGACATTGGCAAAACCAGTGTGCTTCAACACGCACCATTAAAGCCATTCTACAGAATATAATAAAGACCAGTGTTTATAATATGAAAAGGAAATGCTTATGCTTACCTATTGGGAACCACTCTGTTGTTGCGATGCCAGCGTCTTTTCTTGCAGAGGCCACGGCTTCTCTCATAGCGAAAGGAACGGATACAGCCATGCAGGTAGCTGGCTCACCAGTCACTGGAGACACCAAAAAGATAATAATCTCAAAATGTTAGTCTTGTTTACTAATAAATTGTTTACTTTCATCCTACTATAACATAAAGTTTACAGTGTAATTTGGTTCAAATTCTGATAATAAATCTTTATTTACAGAACTCCGCAAATACGAGAATCTAGAAAAATCTGATTACGTGGCAACTACAGGATTGCGAAAGACATCATCATCCATCAATCATCATTGTTTGGTAAGTTTTGTTTCTATAAATATGCTAGGTATGTTACAAATGTTTCTGCCTTAGGCAGTTCGTTTCAAGTTCGTTCGTTCGTTCGTTTCAGCCGAAAGACGTCCACTGCTGGACAAAGGCCTCCCCCAAGGATTTCCACAAAGACCGGTCCTGCGCCGCTTGCATCCAGGTACTTCCCGCGACCTTCACCAGATCGTCGGTCCACCTAGTCGGTAGGTCGGTCGTTTCAAGTTATTTAAGTATAATTTTAAAATTAGTTTGAGAAGCGACTCTTAACGCTAAAAATTAAATAGCTTATTAAATATTTATGCTAACCTTTAGCTCCTAAAACAATAGCCGCGCTGTAAGATTTCTCCCGGAAATATATCCTGAAGTCCTGCGGGATGTCCCTGGCTTGAGGGACGTGGTAGTTCCAAGAACGATCTGATTTCAATTCGCCGTTTTCTTTATCGTAAACCAGTTTTTCAGATGTCCAATAACCTAGGCCGAAAATGAATGCACCTTCCACCTAAAACAATATTTGTGTAATGCCATAAGGCCTTATAAACTGATCATCCGGGAACGGAAGGGTTAACCTGTAGAAAATAATTAAAACAGTAGATAAATAAAATTAGGCGTTATCTCTTAAAGTTACACATTTTTAATAGTGTTGCGTCACAGTCCGCAAGGCTACAATCTACTTTTTTAAAAATATCCTATTTATTTCCACACATTTACACTATCTTTACAAGAAAAACCTAATACGATAGCATAACTTATTCTAGTATAGGTAGGTACATAATAATAACTTACTCTTTAGTAGTCAGTTAATACACGTTAGTAGGAACATGCATTAAAAACTGCACTCTTAAAATCATAAATCATTAACAAATTAAAACAACTTACTTGTCCAACATCAATTTCGGGGCTGACACTCCTGCCGACATCTTCATACAAATCGACCCTAACTATCTCAGACTCCCCAGTCAGTATGTCCACTTCCACCTCAGACAATGTTACCCCATATACGAAGAATATCGGAGATAAAATATCATTGACGAATGTTCGGGCTCGCAAATCCACTCTAAGGAAATGTGCCTGTTTTATCAATTTCTCCCAAGAGGGATTAAGCAATAAAATTCTAATTGGTGCCAAACGAAGCAGTAATTCCTTACAGCATTTCTCGACTCCCATTCCCACGCTCTGCGATGTTATACTGCTGCTAGTAAAAATACTGTTCGGCGCTGTAAGAGTATTGTGCCCTTTCACTTTTATTTTATCAACCGAAATATTGAAGAAGTGAGCACAAATCTGGATAGCTTTCGTGTTTATGCCTTGGCCTAACTCTATACCACCATGGTTGATTACCACGGAACCGTCTCCATGGCATATTACCATGTTCACCTCGTAGCCGGCTGGACTAAGAGGCGTGTATCTCATAAAAGCCCACCGCAAGCCTCGCTTCTTCCATCTATTTTCAGCATTGAACTTATCAACAGCGGCTCTTCTTTCCGTGTATTCTGCCCTTTCTTTCAATTCTTCTCCCATGGTTTTGACATCGCCAAATAATAGTGTGTTTAAGTTAGTCATGCGTACGTCATAGGGGTCAAGGGATAGCTCATAGGAAATTTGCTCCATGATGTGTTCTGCGCTAACAATGTTTTCTAATGAAGCTGGAAGGCAGAACCATTTAGGTTTCAGTTAAATAATTTAAACTTTTATTTAAAGCAGTTTCCATACAACATAAATACTTACCTGGTGCTCTGCAGTATGAATTTTTAGCTGTGTCAGTTGTAGCGTTATAACATTTGTAGTCCCACCATAGGCTTTTGTAACAATTGTTGTATACGTCTACTCCAATTGCTGATATTATTTCACTGGTAACATGACCATTATCTTCAAAGAGGTTGTAAGTCATGTATTGCACACGACCGCTCTTACTAACCTTCACCTAATAATTTAAACAAAAATCAAAAACAGTCACAAATGATAACACCAATTACTTATCAAGAAAATATTTTATGTAACATTTTGGAAAACCGTTCTCGCCAAAATTTACAAACATCTCATTATGTAAGGTCAATGCTTAAAGTAGGTAATAATACGTGCCTCAACATCAGTGGAACAAGGTAGCCTTTTTCCCAAAGCTCTCGTGACAGAGCTCATGGACTGAACCAAACGGACTGGCTTGTTCAGCATAAACGCTGCAATGCTACAAGCGACTGCCCCCAAAGTGCTGCGAGTTATTTTCAATCCAAAACCACCTCCAAGACGGTTAGTAAAGACATCCACCCTAAAATATCACCACCTTTAGTTACTATCATCAATATTTATATTGAAATGGTTACGTAAACCGAAGTTCACAATAGCTTACCTATTATGATCAATGTTCAAAGCTTTAGCTGTCGTATACTGTACAGCATCCATCCATTGGCTCGACGAATAAACAGCTAGACCGTCTTCCGAAGGTCGGCTTATACTCACAATCGTTTCCATTGGGAAATGGTATTGTCCGTAAATCGTGTAGTTAGATTTAAACTCTTTGTGATTAAGAAGACCTCTACCTATGTTAGGGAGCGGCAAGAACAGCTTGTATCTTGATTTATCTTCTTTAGCTTCCTTGATATCGATCAAAGGCTTTCTAACATTGGTGTATGTAACTTTTACTTTCTTAGCTGCTCTTTCTGCTAATGCCGTTGTTTCAGCAACAATAATACCTAGAGGCTGGTTGTAGTATTTAACTTCTTTACTACAAAATACTTCTTCTCCTTTTACGAATACGATTTCACCTAATAACTGAAATGAATTCTCGCCGGGAATGTCTTTGGCTGAGTAAAACGCTTCCACTCCAGGAATTGCCTAAAATTTAAAAATAATTTTTTGAAACCATTAATCCTAGCTTAAAATTGTACTATTATCTGCTATTAATAAGATCAACAGATAGTAGGAATAAAATAATTTCTAATGATATATTTACCAGAGCTTCACTTGGATCTATAGACTCTATCTCCCCTTGTCCCACTGTACTTAATACAAGTGCAGAATATAATTCGTAAGGGAGTGATGGCAAATCATCCGTATACTTTGCTTCTCCCGCACATTGAATCTAAAATAAATTTTAAAATATCCATCTCAAAGTAAAAAATATCGACGAAGAGACCATAACATTGTAAGTAATCTTGGGTTCAGTTATACCATAGCTTCCACCTTCATTATTGGCTCATTAAGAGGGTATAATTTCGGATCAGTGCTGAACTCTTGTCGTCCCTGCGACACGGGCCGTGACTCGTGAAGTCTTTTCGCTCCAGAACGGTATTTTTCTTTTATTTTATCTTCAGGACATAATGTCAATAATCCCTGAAAGAATGGGAGTATATTATCAAGAAGGGCTTAATTTACTTTGAACTATGGAAAGGTCTTAAATCAACATAAAGGTATTGCTAACTGCTTCAGCTGTACCCTTGAGTATTACACTCTACCTTGTAAAATAGAGCTATTGCTAATTGTTTTCTGTACTCAGGAGAAGGTTCTGGCAAATTTTCAACTGCAACAACTTCTTTGTCCAACTTTTTAATAGCTCCTTGCAACGTATCGTTCTCAAAAAGTTGTTTTCCCACTAAATATTCCTCTGTTTCAAATGCTCGTGTAAATGTTGAAGATATACCACCAAACACAATCCTGGCGTCTTCCACTGTGTTGTCAGATTTTACTTTATACTGGAAACCAGCATTGACTATCGCATGCGCGTTTTGAGATCGAGGCATTATCTGCAAATGTTATTTATATCATTTAATTTTCATAATTCTCCTTACTTCCTATCTTCGAAAGTTTGTAGTTTCTGCCAAAATCTTTATGGAGTACCTACCTATTGAAGAAGTTTCAAGTAACTTTAGGAATCAGCAATACCTGGTTATAATTTCTTAAAGTATTCTTTATAGACATGGAATTAGGTAAACAGTTTACAGCACACAACAAACTTACCTTAAACGTTGCTAGTTTGTACTCGTCGTCGTTTAATGGAGGCAACATTATGTTATACAGTATCTTTCCAGTCATGTCTGTTGCCAAGAAATCTAATATGTTCATGGATTCTCTAGATCCTTGTGAATCCACTTAAAATAGAACCGTTAGGTTAATTTAAAATGCATACAATTTAGAGATCGATTCTTCTAAATAGTCAGTAATCTCGCTCATCTATACAGGGTGGAATTTTTTAATGCCACCTGAAGGGAAAGTACTCTTAATACTGTAGATAGAAAATTTTACTCAAAGAAACCATTCCTTTATTTTTGAAAAGAAATAGAACTGCATTCAAAGATTTCCAAAAATTTGCTTGCTACACCCGGGAATCGAACCCACTAAAATATGTAAAAAATTACACCTTGTATTTTTATAGCATCGATCGTTAGGGTTTAAGTATAAGGATGAAATCTCTCAAACAAACTTGATAAATCAAATGAAAGGAAAACCATAAAATCTAAAATTATTGTAATTATTTACAGAAAATTGTATGGTATGGTGGTAAATTTTCGAAAAATTTTCGAAAATCTGAATGCAATTCTCTTTCTTTTCAAAAATAAAGGAATGGTTTCTTTGAGTAAAATTTTCTACTTACAGTATTTTAAGGGTACTTTCCCTCCAGGTGGCATTACAAAATTCCACCCTGTATATATAAAAGAAAGTCGTGTTAGTTACTCCACTTATAACTCAAGAACGGCTGAACCGATTTAGCTAAAAATTGTCAGGGAGGTAGTTTAGAGCCAGGAGAAGGACATAGGATACTTTTTATCCCGTTCGAAAAAAAAAGTCTGCTTATTTATTGCCATTAAGGCGGAACAAAGTTCGCCGGGTCAGCTAGTTAAGAATACAACGTTCAGTCATTACGTACCAATAGTCACATAAGCACCAACTGTTTCCAATAAGAGAAAAACATCAGATGCAAAACTCCGATGCTTATGTTTCGTCATTAAATTTCCAGCGATAGTTCCCAACTGGAAACAAAAATTCACCTCAAAATGTTAGTTCCTCTTGAAATAAAATGTATCTAAGGTCTTCGTCATACTTACGTTTCTTACGGGTATATGAGCAACCAGTTGTAAATGATCGTGTAGCTTTTTTAGATAACTGAAATATTGTTCACCAGATACTACTTCGAAAATTTCCATGGTCTCGGTCAGTGTTGTGTTAGCGCCAATATTTAAGTTTTGATCAATTTGATAACCTTTTAACTCGGATATTCCAGTTATGTCAATTAAGCAACTGGGATATTCATCAATAGGAAACGCACCTAAAATAAGGACCCGGTTATTAATGTTGCCAATAAATCTTTTACTTTGTCTGTCAGAGACTAAAATGTTCCCATTTTAGTGTATGGTTTATGTATTTAGGACTTTACAGGCTTGGATTAATCTCAGTTGTTACAAGTGCTATCTAAACTATGTACCTACTCTCCTCGACTAACGTAATTATATTTACCTTTAGCTGTATTTCCTGCCACTAACATATAAGAATCCTCGCCTTCGCTGCTCAGAATATCAAATATTTGGGAGATCTCAGTTACTTTATACCATTTTTTATTATCTTTAAGTTCTATTTTAATCACATCATCGTCCATTACGCCACTCTTGCCAGAAATAACACACCAGTCTTCTTCTCCACAAGTTTTAGTACATGGCTTATTGCTTTTCTTGCAAATATACAAATCTTCTATATCAGCAATTTTATTGTCATCCGCATCGACTGCGAACTTCTTCAAGCCATCTAAAATTGGCCTGTATCCAGTACATCTGCAGATATTGCTGCCGAAAGACTTTTCTATCTCCAATTTCGTCAAATCTTTCTTGTTTTGAGCGAGACTGTAGACGTTAAGTTGGTATTAATGAATGATAACGTTAATAAATGATATAAACTCGTAGCACTTTTGATTGGTAAATGATGGTAGGTACCTGTACATAGCCATAACCCAGCCAGGTGTGCAATATCCACACTGGGTCCCATTATTTTCTGCAATAGTTTTCTGGATCGGATGGTACCCATCACCCCTGTTTCCCACTTTTTCAATCGTCGTGATTTCCCAGTCTTGACATGATGTAATTGACACTAAACACTGTCGAAACAAAAATAAGTAGATGATGGTTTTTAATTCATAAAATTTGTGTTAGCAAGAATGTGAGCCATGTAGGAACTAAATTGTCAACTCAGCAATGAAATCGGTCGTCTAAGCCTAGGCGCAGACCATCGATTTTTCGTCGGCCGATAGTTTAGTCGGGCAGTTGATCAGTATGGGCATGACATGTATATATACTTAAGAACTCGTCAACTCTGCAGACTAAGGTCGGGCCTATTCCCACCTCTCATTCCCACCGCTGCAACTCCTGTGTAGCCAGGATCTACAGCTTGACCGCCAATAAAAACCCAACCAGTGAAGGTCAAGCTTGTCCCGGGGGAAAGTTAAACTGTCATTGGATCCGCAACGAAATTAATCAGAAGAACATAGGAGGAGTTCGAAGTAAGGTTCGGCTTCCCTCAATTGCAAAGCGGATACCTGGCTACCGACTAAGATCGTGATCATGAAGGCACATCCTTAAATATCATAAGCAGAATAAGACCTACCGAGTTGACAGCTTTAGGAGTCTCCCCAGGACTAGTGGCTGCAGAGACAATGCAGGCACCGCAGCCACCCTCTCGACAATTGTACTTTGTGCCACGTAGTTCTAGGTAGCTCCGGATGTAGTCCAGGAGCATTACATCGGAGCTCACTTCACCACCCACTACAAATTATATTTAAGAGCTAAAGTTAATATGAACATCGGAACATTGAGAAGTTAGTCCTTGATATTAAACTTAATCACTATTTTTAAAGTTGAAAAATTAAGATACACAAACCTGCCTAATTCAGAACTCCATTACAAGACAATAGGCAATTTTTCATGAGTGAAGTTTATGAAAAATATTTTACATAACAAACTTTAAGGGCTGTACTTAAAAGTGCATAACACTCGCTCTTGACTAGAAAAGGAAAAGGGCTAGGCATATAATAAATATCATCCATGTACCATCCTAGACTGCATCTCACGTAACACCATGCAACGTCACCAACAACATAGGATTGATGTTCAGCCTAGTACTATACCTAGCCTAGCTTAGTAATTAGTGTCTTCTTGTCTATAGATTGTTTTTTACCTGAATGTTCTTCCCCGTTCACTTTGAATTTTATTCTATCCATGTCTGTATTAGTTTAGAGTTTAAAACCAACTGCACAACTGCGTGTGCGCCTCCCAACCATAAATATGTAAGAAACAACCTTAAATGTATGTAAATTAAACATAAAATTACTCAGATAACGGAATCTACCTACGCACTGTATTTGACGTCATTATTATATAAAACTTTTTGCATTTCATTTAAAGTTTCCCTACATACAGCACGGGTATAAAACGTGTTTCGTATTTACCATTTTTAAGTGATCCGTTGGTGGATAGTCAATATTTGTAACTTTCTTTTTTATTAAAAATATTATTATTAACTAATTTGTATTGCACAAATTATTAATAGTCCCGTTAACACTTCGCGATAAGCTAAATAAGCTTGTGTTACGAGTGGGCTCACCACAATAGTCAAGCGGCGGCGTGATTCGAACCCGCACTATCATATCATTATCATCGTAACTTTAAGGCGATTAGAGTCCTCAATGACCTTGGGCGTTTGACGTTCACGCCGCGAGCAACACCCGCGTACCCCGCACCAAAAACTCCGATTTGACACCGATCAAAAATACACGGGCATAGGTAGATACAGAATAGAAGCTCTTTCTTCATACATTACTGCCTATTATTTTAAACTTAAATTGATGAACCTTGATGTCGGTCTCATTTAACTCAGGCGTAAAGGTATTTAATAAAAATAACAAAATCCATGAACATTTTGTACGGGATAAAAATTTTATTTTATTTTTCGTAAATTTTCTAATGCTTTTGTCGGTTTAGTCGTTCTCGAAATTTGAACAAACCCGACTTTATTACAAGCTTTTATTTAGCTTGCAATTTATGATGTATGTAGGTAATTACATAAATGTTTGTTCGGGTGGAATCTTGCAAGCTGAATTAGTTGCAAGCTGAATTAGTTAGACCAACTTCCTGACGACAACTAGGCTAGATGACAAAATCCTGACCCTGTACGCAAGTACCTAATGTTATGTAAGTAGGTACGCTACTTTGAAAATCATGAGTCTTCAATTCTCTAAGGGAAACTGCAGGGTCTGATGATGGAGCTGGAATGTGGCCATAGGAATAGGCTAGTTTCTTTAAAAAATACTTTTGGTCCGTCAATTTTACATTATCAAAAAATATTGGACACAGGATATTTTTATTTTTCAATTAAACAAGTAATTACGAAGATAATAATGCGATGAAATTCCGCGTGACGACACAAATCGCCACATTTTTAAGCATGCCTTGACGTCATGTGCCTCATCTTCTGAACTTTGGTGCGCTTCATCTCTTTAAATTTTCATAAGTTTAAAAAATAACAATAGATATTATAATTTATAATGTAAGAACATTATTGCATGTCATGGAACTCTTTTTTAGCTTAAGTGCCACCATTGTAAGAAAAAAATATTCTAAAAATGTAATATAGCTGTTGAGTTTCTGAATAAACTAAATAAAAAAAAAAAATAAAGAAAAATACCTACATTTAGAGTTTTTTTTTTTTTGGTAAGTTCACCGACGGTCTTATTCAAACTCTTGCTACTTTCTTGCTTTATCCACGAAACATCCCCATTCTTCGAAATTATTACGATCTACAAACGGAAAATCTCTGCTACTACGCCGCAGTAAATTCCCCATCATAAATAAAAAGATTTTTTTAAAACAAGCTCTTGTATGCTAATAATTTTGGTTTCATGACATGCTCCCAAAATTCATCACCTTATAAGAGGATTTCAGTTTTTATCTGCGAAACTTTTTAATAATATAGGTACTATCGGGGACTCTTCCGCCTGACCACTTTGTAGAAATTTTAGCGTAAGCGCATCGCTCCGGTCACGTGCTCACCCCGTCTCTAATTGGTTACGCATTTTAATATATTTTTACTACGACCAATAAGAGACAATCAGGGATTAGGTTGCAATACGAAATACCATTGTGCACTTTATTGTCATACGGTTAAGGTTTAAAACGAAATGTTTCTTTTTCTTCAATCTTTCTTAGTTTTAAGCTGAGTTGCACCACCTAACTTTGACCGTAACTATAACGGTAACCGCTGCTTTTTGTATGGAGTTTGACAGAATTTTGACGTTTGTTAAAGTTAAAGTAAGATGGTGCAACTCAGCCTTAGAATTTTAATAATAGAATTTGGTTACAAACAAATAGATATGTATTTTTTTTAATATTGTGTTTTTATACGAGGTCTGTCTGCTTTTTGCTTTGGCGATCTGTCGACATATTCTCTCCTTTGTTTTTATGTGAAGTTTCGTGATCAATAACCGATTGATTTGTGTTGACCCGTGCTAGTAATTGGACTGTTTGATTGCCTTTTTATTGACCTCCGCTCGATTACTGAACCATGCCTCTCAAAATAATTCTTATATTTACTTACAAACTTATCTATACATTGTTAACTGTTTAAGTACCTATTATTTAGTTTGAAGTTTAATTGTTATTTCTGACTGCACGTACTCTATGAACAATTCTGACATAAAATCTATTGTCGAACAAAAGCTGGGTTGCACCATCTTACTTCAACTTTGACAAGCGTCAAAAGTCTGTCTAACTCCATACAAAAAACACCGGTTATCGCCAAAGCTACGGTCAAAGTTAGGTCACGTCAGGTGGTGCAACTTAGCCAAAGAAAAAATTCATTTTGATCGCTAATGTCAGTTTGTAGCGAGTGACACAACCTCCCCGTCTGAAGGCCAGCGGCCGACTGCCGCCCGCACCCCGCGAAGGCCCCCTCAACAGCAAAACGTTCGGAATTTATCAAAAGTAAAATTTATGAATGAAAGTAATATTCGATTGAAAAACGCAACGTGTCATTAAGATTAAAGAATTCCCAATCTATTCGTGCAAAAATCTTTTAAATTAACATAGCCGTTTTGGAGGAGTAGGGAATTTAAGTAAAAAATCGATGTCCCGTATTTATTTTTTTAATCCAAAACAAAGAGACGTAGCGAAAATTCAAACGTCACAAATGTAGTCCTTAAACTGTTGTATAACATATATTTTTTTCAACTATTTCTGTCCAGCAGTAAAAGAGGAGTAGGCTTTACAAAATGCCCATTTGGCGCGGATTGAGGACACTAATCGCCTTAAGCTTATAAACTAGTTTCTGCCCGCGGCCTTATCCGCGTAAATTGCTATTGCTTCTTTCCATGCCAGAACTGCAAAGTTCTGCAAAACCTCAGAAAAAAACAGGAGTTTCTGGTGACTAGACCTTTTCTTGAATCTTCTCCTTTGTCCTAGCCATTTCCCATTATTTGGGGTCGGCTCTCCTCGATCTGCGACGCCAGAATAGTCTGACCTGGGTTGTCGAAATATTTGTTAGGGCAAGCTCCAAGTCCTTGTCCACCGTGGACCTAAACCTGAACCTTTTCTTGTACACGAACACCTTTTGTATAACTCCAGAACTGTGATTTGACAGGAAGAGAGTTTCTGTGGTTGACCCTATGGTCAGTTGACCCTATAGAGACACTTATGGCTATCTAACAGTCAGTTTCTCTATAGAAACTGACTGTTAGATAGCCATAAGTGTCTCTATCAACCACAGAAACTCGCTACCACCTTCGGCTTCACCTTTCCATTAGGTTAGATACAGATCAATAGCTTACTCATAGTTAATGTTTTGTTTTGCCTGTTCAAGTGGGTATAGTGCAATGAACTGCTTAAGGCGATTACATGGCCGAACGACCTTGAGCATTAGAGCGAGACAACGCGCCTCCCGCCGCGCGCCCGCGCTTCTGCCCGATATCAAAGAGCGCTCAGAATACAGATGCGAAGCGCTGCCAATTCTAACATAACTGCCTACGGGAATGTTGACTCGATTTTAATTTACGCAGATCGAAATATAATGATTATATTTCAATTAGTACATCATTATACTTCAATTATTAGTACCATAACTATGAAAAATAAACTTTTATTTCCTCTTGTAAAGTTTGCACAAAAGGACATAAAGCAGTTTGAAAATTAGGCTGACGATATTCGTGTGTCTAAGTAAGCTTATAAACAGTTTTTTAAGTGTGTGTCCGAGTACCTACCTAAATGTGAATGTCTGTCTGTGCAGGTATTCAAAATATTGGTAAAATATTGATCAACATTGAATAAAATATTTTTGATCATTGAACACAATTTTAGACTATACTTTCTCTGTTATTGTTTTTAGTAACATCGATGTTCGGCTATTATGATGAAATACAAGATTCGATGCCTCCTAAGTAAACTATCGTATGTCTTAAAACCAAACTTTACAGTAGAGCCATTTAAAGATATTTATGTGTGCAGTTTTCCCATCTTTTGAGCTAGGGGTACGATTTTTTCAAAACATATAGTCGATATAAGGTGTATTCTCATACAATAACATTTATTTGTAAATATATTGTAGTTTTGGAGATATTGTTGTTACGGTGTTTTACGGCGGATAAAATTAGTCATAGAAATCGTAACATAACTATACAATTATTTACTTTGTCCAGCTGTAGGTAAAATATATAGTAAGAGCCACATACTCCATTGTACGGGAACATAATCATTTATTCTGTCGAAGGTATGTTACA